GAGATGGATTTCTTTTTAAACTGAGGTCCAGGGACACTGCAGCATTGTACACAGATCCCACATACATTTCTGTAGACAAATAAGTAGAATTCCTGTTGACTTGCCTGTGTGTTTCTTTATCTATTTTACTTGCTTGGGTTTGATTGAGGTGTAATTCACACAACATAAAACGCGCCCCCCCCATGGGTGGTATTGAGGGCATTCGCAGGTGTGTAGCTGTCGCCATTGTCCGGTTCCAGAACATTCTTGTCACCCCAGAAAGGGGACCCCCGTCTCTGCTGAGTAACACCCCCTGCCCTCCACCCTGCCCCATCTGGTATGCCACACCAGTGGGCTTGGACGCCTCCCATCCTTCTGTGGCCAGACATGCTTCCATGTCATCCCAAACCCTGCCTGTGGCCCACTCAGAGTGACCCCATAAGTCAAGGCAAAACTGTCCAGTAGGGTTTCCAGGCTTAAATCTTGGCAGGAACAGATTGCCACACGATTCTCCTGCTAGCCTGGCGCTAAACCCACAGTGCTACCAGGGGTCCTTTTCGTGGCTGCATACTATTCCACTGGGGCCACGGGAAAGGGGGAAGGCCCTTGGCAAGAGGGACTGACACTGTGACTGCAAAACCATGGGCTCAAACACAAGAGCAACTGTGAGCAAGGGCAGGGCCGGTGGTGTTCCCTAAGACCGACTGACTGACCGGCCTGCCCGCACCTAACAAAGATATTCCGCTGTAGGTCGTATTTTCACCTGGGGGTATCCCCTGATCGTTGGCTGTGGCTCAAGGCGGGCTGGGGCCCTGGGTTTCCAGGCAGTCATCTCTAAGGGAGCAGATTGGCAGGCCGTTCCCCCCCACCCACCCCAAGAGTCTCTGGGTAGGTGCCAGTAGCCATTCCAGCTGGGCACCTGGCCACTGTGCCGCTAGGCTCCTGAGAGCCACTGTGACCCCCACAGGGCAAGCCCCGCACCTCTCTCCTGGCTTTGGGGAACAGTCCCTTGCCACAGCTCTGGCAGGGGCCCAGTAACCCGGGCAAGTGAGCCCCCACCACCCTCCCAGGCTCTGTCTGCACATGAGAGGAAAGAACGGGCTGGGACCCACGGCGGGATGCCATGGTGGGATGGAGCCCAGGTTCCAGAGGCCCCGAGCCACCCTCACGTCCTTTCCCCTGGTGTGTGAAATGGGGGCTGGAAAACCTGGGCCTCCATGCAGAGGCACCGTGGGGCGTTGAGGAGGGGGCTATTTTCTAGATTGTTCCTTTCCTCAGGCAAGGTCCCCCTCATGCTGGGG